AAAAGAATTTTCATAGAAAATATCCTGTCAAAGAACGAATATTTTCTATGAAAATTTCTCGGACATTCAGGCCGGTAAATGTTATTTAATACTGTTTATCATAAACAGAGCATTTGCTTAAATACTTGTATCTATAAATAACAACGTTAAACATAAAAATGTCTTTAATAAATATATTTCAATCTGTTCATATCTATTTGTCTATCTATCTCAGCCTGTTCATATCTATCTCAATCTGTTCATATCTATCTAACTAGCAATCTATCTCAAAATGCCCATTATCTATATCTCTCTCTATCTCTCTCTATCTATCTATCTATCTATCTATCTATCTATCTCTCTCTCTCTCTCTCTCTCTCTATATATATATATATATATATATATATATATATATATATATATATCCCTTTTCCCTCTATTATTAATTTTTTTTCCCCAAATATTTAAAACATCATTTCGTATTATTGCTATGGTTCTACACACTGCAAGCAAGTCTTTGAATCTCGCTTTGCTTATATTTTTTTCGAAATCTATCTTATAATTAAAGATTAAATACTTGAAATGAAATTCTTCACTTTTGGACCCTTTTTCTGTTGATACCTGGTACCTATAAATGAACAAACTTTTTCTTTTTGTCGCTTGTTGATGTCGTCTCGCAGCTCCAGAGTTTATTGTTTGGAGCCGAACCTTTCTAAGTGACAGTTTTATATGCCATGATATATAAACCTATGTTAGCGTCATTTGTTTTTCATTACGTTGAAAATATACGACATATATATGAAGTATACTAATCGACCTATACACGAGTCTTGTCATATATGTATTTAATCATTTCACCCCGAGCAAGGCAATAAAACCATTAAGGCGCAAGGTGTTACTGAGTTTGAAAGAATATGATAAAAATATATTATAATAAAGGCGAGAAAACAATTAAAAACAGGAATTAAGAAGACTAAAATGTAAGATTCGCATTGTTTTAAATTATTTAAAAATCAAATTTGATTGGAAAAGAAGAAGCCAGAAGACTTTCCCGCTAGCAAGAAGTGAGAGAGAAAAAACTGTTGGCATAGAACTTGCGGTTTTATGTAGCAATTTCAAATGCAATCCGGTACTGTGCTTAAATTCTTACCACTCACAAATTTGGTTCTAGAGATTACTGGAGATGTGATAAGTTCTCAATCCTCTTCTATTCATTTAGTTTGATGCATTATTATCTACTGCTGATGAATCTTAATTCTTTGCTCGTAAATTCTCTTCCACCTTCACTCTCGATTCTTCAGGAGTATCTTTGCCTAATTTTGCCACTAGTACATAATCTCTACTGTGTGATATCCACATATCTTCGTCCATATTTTCTGTTGTCGACTCCAAACTAGATCCCCATAAACCTTGCAAATTTGACGATAACTCGATAATTATCCTAAGGAAATGTGATCCTGAACTGGCCCCTGTTCTCGCCACACCCTACAACAAATGCCTTGCTGCTTCTTGCTTTGCAGTTTGTTAGAAATCCTCCACTTTTTCCCACTGTCTTTAAGAACTCCGGGGCACTTTCTGTCTACTCGAATAACCGCTAAAAATTAGTCTTTCACTAATTTCAAAAAATTAGTCTTTTTTGGCAAAGTACAAGAAGAGGCTCTAATCAACACCGAAGTTTCTTTCGGATAAACGCTATCGCTTACGCTTCTCTAAGTCTTCTTCCGATGTCTTAACGATTGTTACTGTATTTGTCTATCAGGCTTTTGCTATGAATGATCAGACTCAATTTGCGACTTTAGATATCTCGAAGATATTCGATAGGGCTTAGCATGATGACCCTTTCTACAAGCTCTAGGCCGTCATGGGTATGATGATAAACTCTATCCGGCAGCAAGGCCTCTGATCAGGAGTTTTTGAGTAGCATATAAAATCTCTTAAGCTTCTGGTGTTCGCAGGTCCATTCTGACCCGAGGTGGTAGCACCTGTTAAGGTCCCAGCTAGGGACAAATAGTTAACCACCAAACTGCGTAAATAGCACATTATAACAAAAATACGGGCAATAAATTTTCATAATAAAAAATTACAGGGATAAGTTTTTTGTAAAAATAAAAATTACCAGCTATACATTCTTGCAAAATAAATTACTAATCCTCCCAAGAAAAAAGGAATAAGGAGTTGATATGTCGCTAAAGAACAGGCTATGGTGACAATCCAATTGTTCTTAACAAATCATGTAATGAAGGTTGTCTTGAACGGCCAAGCTTCTAGATCATTTCGTATCAATGTGGGCTCCCGAGAGCTTTATCCTTGGACTTATTTGTTATCTTCATCAATGATCTTCCTGATATTGTCTATTACCAACTAGGTATTGATGCTGATGACACAAATATTTAATATTGTCTTAGTAACATGTCAATGCAAAACTGAAAACTGCACTCAAAGGCGTTTGACAGGGTTTGGCATGCTGGATTTCTTCACAATCTCAAGGGCTAAGGCTTTTCGGAACGAAGATTTGGCTTAATCCAATCGTTCTTAACAAATCGTGTAATGAAGGTTGTCTTGAACGGCCACGCTTCTAGATCATTTCACAGTAATCGGGAGTCGTCCAGAGCTCTAAACTTTGACCTACGTGGTTTCTTATCTTCATCAATGACCTTCCCAAGGTCATCCGTTCCAACCGAGGGTATTTATACTGATGACACAACTATTTACTCCTTTCTTATAGGAAGACAAAATAAAATTGTCATCTGCTCTCGGAAAGGAATTCCAAAAAATGGTCAAGAGGAGCAAGAAAGTTTTGGCCCGTAATATCATAAGCTTTCAGTTTGTGAAAAATCCAGCACTCCTGTCAAATACCTTTGTGATATCTAAAGGAACAGCCCGAGTTTCTTATCTAAAGCTTGATAAACTCTTTCCGGTATAATCACAAATACATCAGCAGTTGACCAAGAGAAGTAAAAGCCATATTGCTTGTCTGAAAAAAAAAGATCGTGCGAGGTTAGAAGCTGAGACAATTCGGGGTTGATTAGAGCCATTAGTGATTAGCGATTAGCAAGAGTCCTATAGTTAGAAGGTTTAGATGGTTCGCTTGTGTTCTTTAAGACTTATTCGACACTGCTATTTTTATAGATTTTATTCGAAGAATGACCAGGCCAAATCGTTTTCCATGGTCTTGCTTGGTTAGAATGTCGAACTGAATCCTTTATTTCGCTCACTGGAGTAGATTGTTCTAGTTCCACGTGCCATGTCTAATGGATGTCACTTATCAGTTATCTCCTGTTAATTCCCCTCTCTAAGTTCTCCGCCGTCTTAACCAGGTATTGAACTCACACTCTTTGGGTTCTTTCACTGGATCTAATTAAAGCACAGAACAGTCTACCCCAATGAGCGAAATAAAGGGTTCAGTTCGACATTCCAACCACCTGAAGAAGGCCGGAGCATGCAACGGCCGAAACGTTGTAATAAATATGGCGACAAAGATGATGACCACAGACCGAATAATGTAAATAGTATACTTAATACTGTATCTCAGAAATATAGATAGATTGTGAAGGGTGATAAATATGGCTACAAAGATGAGGACAATTGTCCGAATAATGTAAATAGTGTACATAAGACCTCTTCTTTGGATATTATCAAGAATCGCAAGTCAGTAAAGCAATTAAGACACGGTGTGAAAGAATTGGTAAACAGAAACTTTACTAATGTCGAAATCTCGTACTGCGCTTAAATTTATAAATATGCAAGATAGGTTCTAGAGAAAGGCATTGCGGATTCTTCTTATATATATAACAGGAGCACCGGACCATATGTGGCAGCAATATTCAAAGCATGGATGAATGGTAGACTTATAAATATGTAAGATAGATTCTGGAGGGAAACATTGTAGATTCCTCTTTGGATTTTATCAAGAATCTCTAAATATATAGCAGGAGCACCGGACCATATGTGGCAGCAATATTCAAAACATGGATGAATGGTAGACTTATAAATATGTAAGATAGATTCTGGACAGAAATATTGCCTCAGACGACACAGTGAATTGACTTTTTTAGTAGCTGACCTAGCAATTGATTAGGTATAGTCTTTCCACTTTATGCCAGCCGAGAATGTAAGCCCGGGAAGGCACAACGACTCACTCTTCTAGGGGAAGGCTGAAATGTGTCTCTCAAATAAGGTCTTAAAGCAAATCATTAGATTTTAACACAGCCTTACGTTAGCCTTCCGCATATTTAGAAAAGATTGTAAAGCCCCAGCTGCATATGATTTAAAAGTATGGTAACGGCGTTGCATAAAAAAAGTAATAAAATTTTAAAACTTCTAAAATCAATATTCAGTTGACCGCGTTCTTCGAGATTCCAAATCAAATTGTAAAAATCAATTTGCAAGTGAGCCGAGCAAAAAGCCCTCAGTATCCAAACACTTTTTTCACAAAATAACTAATAAGCTGTAAGCGTCCAGTGAGAATATTGTGTATTCACTCGACTAAGCCGTCAATATTTACTAAGTCTTGTCGGAACTAAAATCTATCTATCTCTCTCTCTCTCTCTCTCTCTCTATATATATATATATATATATATATATATATATATATATATATATTTTAAGCATTACGCCCCAAGCAAGGCGTGAAGCCACAAGGATGCAGGGGGTTGCGGAAGATTTGGAGCGAGAGCAGATAGGAGTGATAGAAGAAAGGATGAGGAGAAGGATAGTGGGTAGATCAAGGTAACTGGAGATGTCGATTGACATTACATTTGAATAGTTGGAGATTATAGCTCTCAGGGAAACAGTAATTAGGGAGGGTGTTCCACAGGCGAGAGGTGCGAGGTATGAAGCTATTGGAGTAGAAGAGACCGGTACATTTAAAAGTTTCTACAGTGTAAGGGTGGGAGCGGGATGCCAGCCTCGTAGGGGATATATATATATATATTTCTTCTCCTCAATACACTTGGAAGCAGAGACGTTCTTTTAGAAGGAATCACCTTTCAAGGAGGACGATTGTTGTGGAGAATGTGATCGTAGTACATAAAACTCTCTCTTTCTCTTTTTTTATATATATATATATATATATATATATATATATATATATATATATATATATTCATTTTTGCGTCATTTAGGCGGCAATTTATCCATTGCAATCTGTAGATAGATAGATTGATAGATACCGAAGAAAGAGATAGATAGATAGATAGATAGATAGATAGATAGATAGATAGATAGATAGATATCAACAGAGTGAGATAGATATATAGATTGAAAGATATGAACATATAGTTAATAGAGAGATGTCAGTTTTACATCATTTACACGCCAATTTATCCATCGCAGCCTGTATATATACGTGTGTGTATGTGTAAAATTATGTTCAACCATGAAACAGACTGTCGCTACTCTGTGTTGATATTAGTTTACAAAATTGTTCAAATTGCACACGCATTTCAGATATTGAGCACTTTTACCCTACAAATAGAGCAAACCTTAAAAGTATATTTTATAACACACACACAGACACACACACATATATATATCATTATTATAACATTTTTATAATAAGATATTATAATAGAAACGTTCTGAAATTGATAGACGAAAGCATTCATGTTTCAATACTATGTACTTCTTCAGGCGATGGTAAGTAACTGGAGATTAAATGATTTTTAAGGGAATTTAAAAAGAAAGTGTTACCTCTTTTTCAAAAGTTAAAGCTGGGTGGGGGCATATGGTCAGAATTAAAAATAGATTTGTGGGTATATTTTGATTAACCAATCAAATGGCAGATCTACGTTCCTATTGGTGGAGGTGGGTGATTTATATTTTCATGTCACCATGAATCGGAGCATAGACTTAGCATCATTGACGATAGCGAAGAATATGGCAGCGACAAATGTATGGTGATCTTAGAATTTTACTCCATCTGTTTGTTCTTTTCTAATTTGTATATATATATATATATATATATATATATATATATATATATATATATATATATATATATATATGAAGAAATATAATCTTAAAGTGTGGCATATTTATGGGATAAAGTGCTCAATATCAGAGATAGAGTATGTAAATATAAAATTGAACATTAAAGTCAACACTTAAGAGGCGACAGTCTGTTTCATGTCATGCAAGATGCAATCGTCAGGCCTAACGATTGCGTCTAGCATGAAACAGACTGTCGCCTCTTAAGTATTGACTTTAATGTTCAATTTTATATATATATATATATATATATATATATATATATATATATATACATATATATATATATAGAGAGAGAGATAGAGAGAGAGAGAGATACATAATATTAGTCGTTAATGCACACACACAGACACACACACACACACACACACATATATATATATATAATATATAAATATATATACATACACACACACACACACACACACACAGACATATATATATATATATATATATATATATAAATAAATTTCCAAGAGGAATCCAGGTAGAACTCAATATCCAGGACAGAGAAAGACTATAATAAAAAGGCTTAAACACTAATATTCCATTGTTATAATTTATTACATTGTAATCGTAATTACAATCCAATTCATCAGACCTACAAATTCAACAAGAAATATATACTATTCAAGAACAGGGTTGGTGCACATGGAATAAAATTCCTATAAACCAAAACACTATTCTTAAAAGAGTGCTCAGTACTAAGTCGAGCTAATAATATTTAATCAAATTTATGATATATATATATATATATATATATATATATATATATATATATATATATATATATATATATAACTAGAAATGTTGCAATTTTCTTTCAGTACTGCTGGTGTCTTATCCATTGATCACTTGATAGGACATTAGCAGTATTGAAAGAAAATTGCAACATTGTAATTATATTTTATAAATTTGAATATATATATATATATATATATATATATATATATATATATATATATATATATATATATATTAGTAAATATACATATAATTCGTGCCTGATGAGATGGTAGAACAACGAAACTTAATTTGCTCTTCGACACAGGTATATGTATATTTATTAATATTTATTTCTTAGCTCTGCCTAACCACATTGAGCACTGTTTTCTTTTACAACTTATATTAAATTGAGTAAATATTTATTTGAGTATCTGTATATCCGCGTTAACACATGTATATACCGTTGCTAATATTTAGTTATTTGATTTAATCACGTCAGTACATATATATATATATATATATATATATATATATATATATATATATATATAGTGCATTTCGGCAGCAAACATTCATTTATTCAAGTTTCGTTAAAATCGAGTGGCAAGCTACTGCAGTTATGTGTTTACTTAATTTTCTTCTGTTCTTTTCTGAACATTTTTCTTTGCTATTAATAATGCTTCCCCAAAAAATCCAACACTCAGTCATATTAACTGTCCACACGGCCACAATGTGCTGACCGTGTTTAGAAATAAAATACATCAAAATAAATTCAGTTAAAAATAAAATAAAAGTAGAGCCAAAAAC